TGATCATTAGCAATTAGACATATGCTGTCTTTAAAAGATGGTCCTTTTGTTCTTAGTAAACTGTAGATACAAATTAAGAACTGAATGTTCTGGCTTTCTCTTGGCATGAGGTAAGTTGTAAGAAATACTGACTGAAGTTGTAATAATAGAAAATAAATTGTGAACAAATTGCTCTTGCTAGTATTAATCCAATGTTTATATTACAATAACTCTAAATCACATGAAATATGAAACATTCAAGTATCTTTTTCTCTGTTCTGATCCTAGCTGCTTTTTTTCCCAGTGGATGAAGCAACTTAAATTTCATTAAAATGCAATGGGTGCTTTTCTTTGTTACAACTTGCCCTAAGTTTAAGCTATTGCTGAATAACAGCTCTGTTACACCTTCTCCCTTTAAAACTGACTCTGGTCTCCCCTGCAAAAATGACAACTATACCATTTATAGTTTTCCCTTTACAAAATTAATATGATAATTATTTTTAAATTAAGACTATCATTTCTATATTTGTTAATTTTAACTACTCTTATTATTATACAAATCAATTGTAAAATAAAAATAATAATCATATGTGATTATATATAGTGGTATAAAATCAACCACAGAAAGAAAAAATACATTCACTTAATTTTGTTTTCTTCATTCTGCACTTCAAAAATGACTGTTTCTTACCCTGAGGTAGCCAAGACTCTGACTCAGCACAGACACAAACATCTTCACCTATAACAAGAACCAGATATTCATATTAGACAATAAAAATACTAACCTTCTCTCTAGATCGATACCGTACTTTCTGAAGAAGCTTGCATCCCCTGTCTGCGATCTGGGTGATCCAGATTCATAATCTGAATGGAAGTCATCACCTAAATCTGGAGATCCCATACGAAACTCTGGTCTTTTCTGACTGTGATTTGGCAGAAAAAACAGAAATTTGCTATTCATGGTAAAATGTATGCTGTCCTTCAGGGAATTTCTTGAAAATTTCAGCTTTTGACAGCAATGAGAGAAGAACATCTATATATTTTACATTAAATTTCTAACAAAACTATGAACAAATTGTAAACTGATTTGAAGGTACCTTAGCCCTTAACATCATTCTCACCTTCGTCTATTGATGTTGGCTACACACTCGCCTGTGCTGGGATCCCACACACGAATAATCCCTGCAAGACATGATGACACAAGCAGAACTCCATCTGTACACATACACTCAACATCATGAGGATGACCGGCCAACACCAATGGTAGTGCATCTCCAATAATCTGGAGAGAGCAGATGTGTATGAGTTTCACTTTATAAATAAAAGTGCATTATCAATCAACAGAGCATACTTATATACAATTCAACTTAGAAAATTGCAGAGTTCTCTTGAAGAATGTTCTGTATATGAAATAGCAATATCTAATCACTCTCTTCTCACCCTTTCCCAAAGCCCATGAAATAAACATTAAACAATAAATAAGGGACATGACTATACCCTCCAAAACTACAAATGCTACCAAAACCTTGTACATACCTGTGAGGTCTCACTCTTTACCCCATCCTGACCCCACCAAGATGCCCTCCACTCAGCATAGTTACGAGAACAAATACAATGGTAAAGAGCTACAAAGGCATACAGGAGGCAGAGCACTGCTGGTATCACCAATATAGCTGTCAAGAGTAATTCTCCTGTTGATGATGGTATAAAAGCAGAACCCTCTTGCCAGTCTATATCATCTATGTCCATAGAATCTGTAAATATGGATGTAAATGAATCATCTTATAAAAAAAAATCAATATGTATTAACCCACTTGCGCCGGGTGTCTCACATGTGGGATGCCCAGAAAAATTAACATTACTAGGTATCCTGCCAGTGTGACACTAGATCAGAGTTTGTGCTCTGATATCATCGCACATGGCAGGCGGCGCATGGGCAGGTTCCTGGACAGGCCTGCGCAGGCAGGTTCCTAGACTTGCCTGTGCACTGATTTTGAAGCCGCCCGGAAACCATTATTTTTAGATTGAAAATATACTGGCGCTAGTGGGTTAACATAAAAAGCATTTCCCATTATATCATATATATGATAATTTAAGAGTGAATAAGCAAAACAAAATAATCATTCCCACCTTAAAAGACTAACTCACTTTAAATCAATGAAACAGCTTGTGTGAACTGAAGGCTGATGATGAGGATGAATAAAAAAAGAAACCAATGCCCTTTAAACAACATACTTAATTCTTAACTTACCTGGATGGTGAAGCTTATCAGGAAGCCAAGGTGACGTGTTTGGATCACTAGGATTGTGGACACTAATAGCTTCTTCCGGTGAGATTGGAAGAGATAAAAGTATGGGTGGCAATATACTTAAATAATGGCCAGTGATGCTGATGTTGTAGTAACTGAAGAGAGTTGGCCAGTGATTATGAGGCAGTTTGCGCAGGAGGGAGCGTGTGCGGTGCTTTAGGAGCTTAAGTCCATCCTGTTTCTGTGTGGTGGAGTTGATGGCAATGCTGGGTGGTGTCACCACATTTGGTGAATCTGCAGACGTGGTCTGGTCTATGCTTCTTGGAGTCGGCACTGAGACACCATTTTGGAACATATAGTTGGATCGGTTTGTGAGTGAGAAAATGACAGATGGCAAGTCACGTGACCGCTGCGCATCATTCACTGTTTCTGAAAAATGTTCCATCAAGCCTGAACTATAGATCATCCATGCTATCCATCCTACAAACACACACATAAACATCCTTTGAAACATCCGTTTCTTGGCCACAAAGTAGGTCACCCTGAGCCGCCTAGGCATCATGTCTTGGTTCTTGGGTTTGGTCTGAGGGTGAGCCACACGGTCCTGGCCACTCAATTTCACAGCAGATCCTAGGGGTGCATTCCGGCGGTGTAGGTTTGGCACAGAGGTCACATTGCGATCATTACTACTGACTAGAATTCTTACATTGGAATTTGGAGTAAGTTGTTGATATCTAAAAAGTGGGTTCACTGAGAAAGGTCCACCACTTGCTAAAGACTGTTTCTTTTGTTCCTCCGAGTCCTCATAGCGGTGGAGGTCAATAGAGAGCACTGAGGTGAGAAACACCAATTGCATATACAGGTCACACAAGAGTACCACACTTCCATATATACAAATCTCCTGAACCAGTGGTATAAAAAGGAAGAATGACACTGTTACAATAGTAATCATAGTCAGGAAATACTTAGTAATAGTCCATCCTTCACGGGCTAGACCCTGAGCAACACGAATCTTAATGTCCAAGTGGGAAGGCGTTGATAACACAGATCTGATTAACACCATACTATTTTCAAAACCAATAAGACCTGCAAGCACTGGATACACATACTTCCCTTTACTGTGAAGAGGCCGCAGGCCAAAGTATGCACAAAATCCTACAGAAATGCACAGGGACGCAATCAACGTTGCCTGAACACTTATCGCCATTCCAAATTTACTTTTGAACATGTCCATTTTCAAGATTGAGAAGTATATTGATACAAAAAGAAAGCAGTAGAAAATTATGAGGAGGAACTCCCACAGGGACATTCTTGAAGGGAAATATATATGGATGATCTCTTCTCTCTCAAGCTGCATTGGTTGGTGGACAGGATAGCGAGATGTCAATTCTTTCTCTAAACCAGACACAAACCTGAAGGAAAAGTAAGCAAGTCAAAAATAGCAATGGTGAAATAGTCTAATTTTCTTCAAGTTAACCCACCCGCGCCGGGGTACATTTTGTAGCCAAAATTAAAAAAATCCGGGAAGCTACAAAATCGGCGGGCGGAGCTTCCCCGGAGTCTGTCGCCCGCCCGGCCGCCCGCCGCTTTTGCCGCGGAGTACGGCTCCGAGACAGCATCGCACTGGCGGGCAGCCCGAAACTGTTTATTTTTTCCCTGTGTCTCATATATGTGACACCCGGGACGAATGGGTTAACAAAGATATATAGGAAGAATTACTACTCTCTTTAAGTAAGCCAGATATATCTGACAATTCGTAAGAATATATGATAAATTCAACATACATTGCGGACAGATATAGACATATCAGACAATCGTCACAGATCAAAGTATTAGATATAAATATGAAAACTTTACATCTACACTACCACTGAGCCACAAGGTCTCAACTGCAAGAAATCTAAAATTCTTAATACACTACATACTCTTCATTATATTGCTTCAGAGCCAGAGTAACAGCATAGGTTATCACTCGCTGTGGATTTCTGCCACGTCGGAATCCTATCTCTCTTGACGGGACTCCAAAGAGGATGTCAGCTACATTTGTCTGTCCTTCATAACTTGCCTGAAATAAGATGATTTCATTGTTTATAAAACAATTTCTTACTTACTCTTAATAAACAAATTCAAAACATCAATTTTGTAACCAAATATTACCAGTACTAAAATTCTAAATACCATGAATGAACCAAAAAATAATTCATATCAGAAATTCTAAGCATCAAGATTTCCTGAAAGAGAGGTCTTTAATCAGAGATCAGTTGTCTATTAGAGTTACCATGAGGGAATTAACAGTAAGCAGGACATGGGGATCTTGCAGAAACGAAAACTGGTTCCTTGCCCACAGGTCAGCAGGTGAGAGCATCAGGCAGTTGTAATGAGGAAGGACTTGGCCAGCAGACTGCATTTTCTTCACCACACCCTCGATTAGGAGGCATTCTGTCCCAAGTGTTACACTTCGGCTGAAAATATTCATTTTTGTAATTTTTGTAAGAGTTAGTATCCCTGACAAGAGTAGTCATAATATCAGCATATTAGAAGATTATATATCTGCATGGACAGACAACAAAAAAATGAATGTCACTGTCATAACCCACTGAAAAATCCCAAACACTGGGTGATGCCTTAAAAGGTCAAAAATATTTGTTCTACTGAGTGACAGGAGGAGTGGCATAACCTGTGAAGACCTTATGATTCAGGGACAAGCAAAATCAAAACGATTTTTTGTCGGGTTAAGGTAAGTTACTTGTGGAAACACAAGATCAACACAATG